CGAGCTGTCTTCAAAGGCAACCCCACGTAGAGAGCGTTGCAGTAGTCTAAGCGGGATGTAACCAGAGCGTGGACTACCGTGGCCAAGTCAGACTTCCCAAGGTACGGGCGCAGTTGGCGCATGAGTTTTAACTGTGCGAATGCTCCCCTGGTCACCGCCGAAACCTGGGGTTCCAGGCTCAGCGATGAGTCCAGGATCACACCCAAACTGCGAACCTGCGTCTTCAGGGGGAGTGCGACCCCATCCAACACAGGCTGTAACCCTATGCCCTGTTCGGCCTTGCAACTGACCAGGAGGACCTCTGTCTTGTCTGGATTCAGTTTCAATTTGTTCGCCCTCATCCAGACCGTCACAGCGGCCAAGCACCGGTTCAGGACCTGGACAGCCTCCTTAGTAGAAGGTGGAAAGGAGTGACAGAGCTGGACATCATCTGTGTACAGATGACATCGCACTCCGAAACTCCGGATGATCTCCCCCAGCGGCTTCATGTAGATGTTAAACAACATGGGAGACAGTATTGAGCCCTGAGGAACCCCACAAGACAAAGGTTGTGGGGTTGAACAGGTGTCTCCCAGTAACACCTTCTGAGACCGGCCCTCGAGGAATGACCGGAGCCACTGCAGAGCAGTACCTCCGAGACCCATCCCTGCGAGGCGTCCCAGAAAGATATGACCATTTATCCCCCTTTTCCTCAACAGGTCTTAAACAGAGCCTGGGATGTGTAGTCAATGTTCAAACCACTCCATCAGATTGCCTCTCTGCTCTTGCAAACGTATCTCCACCCTTGACTCGCCAACTGAACTTTGTATCTCCTAATTGTTCAGAATATTGCAGCGGAATAGCATTATTTAACTGGAATGAGCAAATCATTCCTGATGTACCTTTCCTTACACTCCTGACACATAACCTACATATGTATTGGTGATGGAAGAAGGTGGATGAGGACAGAAAGAAGAGCAATGCAGATCTGATAAGAACTGAGCAGATGGTGAGATTCTAATCTTTACAGGTGCATCTACATCCGTGTTTCTCAACCTTCCCAATGCCGTGACCCCTTAATACAGTTCCTTCTGTTGTGGTGACCCCCAACCATCCATTTATTTTCATCGCTACTTCACAACTATAATTTTGCTCCTGTTGTGAATCATCTTGTAAATATCTAATATGCAGGATGTATTTTCATTCATTTGGCACAAATACTCGATACGCCCAAATTTGAATACTGGTGGGGTTGAGGGGAGGATTGATTTTGTCATCTGGGATTTATAGTTCACCTACAGTATCAAAGAGCATTCTGAACTCCACCAATGATGGAACTGAACCAAACTTGGGACACAGAGCTCCCAGGACCAACAACAAATTCTTGAAGAGTGTAGTAGGCATTGACCTTGGGTTTTGGAGTTATAGTTCACCTACATCCAGAGAGCACTGATGCATCTGGACCAAACTTGGCAAGAATACTCAATGTGACCAAATGTGGACACTGGTGCAGTTTGGGGAAGATAGACCTTGACATTTGGGAGTCGTAGTGGCTGGGATTTATAGTTCACCTATAATCAAAGAGCATTCTGAACTCCACCAATGATAGAATTGGGCCAAACTTCCCACAGGGAACCCCCACGACCAACAGAAAATACTGTGTTTTCTAATTGTCTTTGGCGACCCCTCTGACACCCCCTCGCAACCCCCCTAGGGATCCCGACCCCCAGGTTGAGAAACACTGATCTATATGGTAGAATTAATGCATTTTGACACTAGTTTAAATGCCATGTCTCAATGCTAAGGAATCCTGGCAGCTGCAGTTTGGTGAAGCGTCAACACTCTTTGGCTTAGACGGTGAAGGGCTTTGTAAAACTACATCTCCCATTATTCTACAGCATTGAACTGGTATTTGCATGCATTAGAATAATAGAATCCTAGAGTTGGAAGAGACCTCATGGGCCATCCAGTCCAACCCCATTCTGCCAAGAAGCAGGAATATTGCATTCAAAGCACCCCTGACAGATGGCCATCCAGCCTCTATGTAAAAGCTTCCAAAGAAGGATTTAAAAGCTTCCAAAGAAGGAAATTCTAACTAAGTGTAGATGCACCCTATATTAATAAGTACCTCATCACACTAGAGAATGAATCCACTCTAAATCCAGATTCTGCCTCCTGCAGAATTTTGGGGTTTGTAGTTTAGAGAGGAGCTTTTAACAGCCTCATTAAACTACAAACTCCAGAATTCTGCAGCAGGCAGAACCAGGATTTAAAGTGGATTCATTCTGTAGTGTGATGAAGTCGTATGAAGACCACTTTCTCCAGCCTGAGAGTTTCCACTTGCACACTCTTCCAAATCTCATTATCTCCAGTCATCAGATAATTGCAAGGTTGGGAGTGCCAGTCATCTGGAAAGAGAAAAAAAGAACTACTTTAGAACAGTGTTTCTCAACCTGGGGGTCAGGACCCCTGGGGGGGGGGTCGCAAGGGGGTCCCTGAAGAGGGGTCCCTGAAGACCATGAGAATATACAATATTTTCTGTTGGTCATGGGGGTTCTGTGTGGCAAGTTTGGCCTAATTCTATCATTGGAGGGGGTTCAGAATGCTCTTTGATTGTAGGTGAACTATAAATCCCGACAACTACAACTCCCAAATGTCAAGGTCTATTTTCCTCAAACTCCACCAGAGTCCACATTTGGACATATTGAGTGTTCGTGCCAAGTTTGGTCCAGATTGATCATTGTTTGAGTCCACAGGCTCTCTGGATTTAGGTGAACTACAACTCCCAAACTCAAGGTCAATGCCCACCAAGCTGTTCTAGCATTTTCTATTGGTCATGGGATTTCTGTGTGGCCAGGTCTGATCCAATTCCATCGTTGGTGGAGTTCAGAAAGCTCTCTGATTATAAGCGAACTATAAATCCCAGCAACTACAACTCCCAAATGACAACATCAATCTCCTCCTACCCCACCAGTATTCAAATGTGGGCGTATCGGGTATTTGTGCCAAATTTGGTCCAGTGAATGAAAATCCATCTTGCATATCAGATATTTACATTACAATTCATAACAGGAGCAAAATTACAGTTATGAAGTAGCAATAAAAATAATGTTATGGTTGGGGGTCACCACAACGTAAGGAACTGGATTAAGGGGTCATGACATTAGGTAGGTTGAGAACCACTGCTTTAGAAGGTGACAATAAACACTTGCCACCAGGGGTCATAACAACCAAACACCAATTGTGTAGAAAGTTGCAAATTTACATAACACAATAGTTCTCAACCTTCCTAATGCCACGACCCCTTAATACAGTTCCTCATATAGTGGTGACCCCCAACCATAACGTTATTTTCATGGCTGCTTCATAACTGTAATATGCAACATGTATTTTCATTCACTGGACCAAATTTGGCACAAATATCCAATACATCCAAATTTGAATACTGGTGGGGTTGGGGGTTGGGGGGGTTGATTTTGTCATTTGGGAGTTGTAGTTGCTGGGATTTATAGCTCACCTACAATCAAAGAGCATTCTGAACTCCATGAACAATGGAATTGAATCTATCTTGGCACACAGAACTCCCAAGACCAACAGAAACTATTGGAAGGGTTTGGTAGATATTGGCCTTGAGTTTTGGAGTTGTAGTTCACCTACATCCAGAAGGGGCTAAGTTTGGATCTGGACCAAACTTAGTACGAATACTCAATAGGCCCAAATGTGAACACTGGTGGAGTTTGGCGAAAATAGACCTTGACACATGGGAGCTGTAGTTGCTGGGATTTATAGTTAACCTACAATCCAAGAGCATTCTGAACTCCACGTACAATTGAATTGAACCAAACTTGGCATGCAGAACTCCCAAGACCAACAGAAAATATTGGAAGAGTTTGGTGGGCATTGGCCTTGAGTTTTGGAGTTGTAGTTCTCCTACATCCAGAGATGGCTGTGGACTCAAACAGTATTGGATCTGGACCAAACTTAGTACAAATACTCAATATGCCCAAATGTGAACACTGGTAGAGTTTGGGGAAAATAGACCTTGACACATGGGAGTTGTAGTTGCTGGGATTGATAACTAACCTACAATCCAAGAGCATTCTGAACTCCACGTACAATGGAATTGAACCAAACTTGGCACGCAGAACTCCCAAGACCAACAGAAAATACTGGAAGGGTTTGGTGGGCATTGACCTTGAGTTTGGGAGTTGTAGTTCACCTACATTCAGAGAGTGCTGTGGACTCAAAACAGTGAGGGAACTGCACCAAACTTGGCACGAATATTCCATATGCCCAAATGTGAACACTGGTGGTGTTTCGAGGAAATAGACCTTGACACGTGGTAGTTTTCGTTGCTGGGATTTATAGTTCACCTACAATCTAAGAGCATTCTGAACTACATCAGTGATGGAACTGAACCAAACTTGGCACACAGAACTCCCAAGACCAACAGAAAATACTGGAAGGGTTTGGTGGGAATTGACCTTGAGTTTGGGAGTTGTAGTTCACCTACATCCAGAGAGCAGGAGGAGGGCTTTTGGTGGGGGTATTCACCCTCTGGTTCAAAAAAAGAATAATAGGCAGAGAGGTCTTCAGACTTCTCTGTCAACAGGGTTCCTAAGACCATCAAAAATATATGTTTCCGAAACCCCCTTGCGACCCCCCCCCGGGGTCCCGACCCCCAGGTTGAGAAACACTGGCATAACAGATCAAGCAACCTTCCATCCCTCTCAGTCTTAACAAATGACTTTCTCTATTGATATTAATACTAATGAGGCAAGTTAAAAAGTAACATCCAAAGCACGATACCAATATATTTATAAAATATAATATAATATATATGTCATCCCATTTTTGGAATTTTTCTCTGAAAGTATATTATTTTGATTTAAATTGTTAATTAGATTGTCAGCATTGAAAATCAATTATTTCTTGGGGAAAGGGGGTGGGGAAATATTCTCTAGGCAATCATTAACCTTTATCACTTATAGAATATCCCAGCTGGCGATGAGATCTGGGCTACTTGTGCCAAGTGAACTTTCTCGCCCATAGAGTCAACAACGCTTGTGTATTCAGCGTCTTCCTGGACTTGCTGCAGCGACCTTGCACAAGCCGGGCTTCCCCTGGAAGGAGAGAGAGCTCCGTGGCGTAGCTCTAGGCTGGAAGAATGGCAGCACTGAACCCACACAGTGTCCTGGTGACCGGCTCCAACCGTGGCCTTGGCTTAGAGCTGGTCAAGCAACTGGCGGAGGGAAAGAACCCCCCGAGAAAGATCTTTGCCACCTGCCGAGACCCCGAGGGAACCCGTGCTCAGGTGAGCTCCAGGGTGGAGTCAGCTCTGTTAAGACCAGAGGATGGCATCAAGCGAGGGACTTCCTTCTCATGATGACTGGGGACCTCATCCCAGGAGCAGGGGGAACGCGGGGAAAAGTGGAGGGAACGTCTTACTCCATTTCCTCCTGTTGAGATCCATCTTCTAGGGTGGCCAGTCATCCCATCTCCTTTCCCTCTCTTTCCCTGTTTTCAAGATTAATAGTACCTGACTGCTGAAGATATATTCAGTGGATACAGAGTCCCACGGAAGGGCCCTTAGGCCATTCTTTGTGTGTCAGAAGTGAATTGAGAAACTGCAAGTCACTTCTGGTGTGAAAGAATTGGCCATCTGCAAGGACGTTGCCCAGGGGACATTGCCCGGATGTCTGAACGCATCTCCCTTGACGAACCACTGCGGAAACATTTCTAGAGAGACAAAAAGAGACAGCACAGATGGCATTCAGCTAGGATAGCTGCTAAAAATGCTGAGCTAATTGGGAGACACCCTAGCAGCTCCTGTGTGGGGAATTCAGAGCTATAAATCAGACCTTCTTCTGGGGAGGTCCTGCTCTCGGTCCCGCCACCATCACAGGTGCATTTGGCAGGGACGAGAGACATTTGGCAGGGGCCTTCTCCGTGGTGGCCCCCCAGCCATGGAACTCCCTTCCTGGTGAGATTAGATCAGCCCCCTCCCTCCTGTCCTTCAGAAGGATGGCGAAGATCTGGCTGTGGGACCAAGCCTTTGGGACAGTGCAGTGAGGCAAAATGGGGTCCTGAGATGATTTTAAAGCAACTTTTAATGTGAATATAAGTGACTTTAATGTTTGTATATATTTATGGTTTTATGTCCCGGCATTGAATGTTTGTCTTACTTCATTTCCTCCTGTTGAGATCCATCTTCTGGGGTGGCCAATCATCCCACTTCCTTTCCCTGCCTTTTCCTGTTTTGAAGTTGAATAGCACCCGACTCCTGAAGATGTGTTCTGTGGAAACAGAATCCCACAGAAGTGCCCTTATCGTATTATTTTAGTTTCCCACAAATTATGTGCTGGACCGTATGAGTGCAGATGTGGTTATATCTCAGTTCATCTTTATTAATAAGCATATATGTTGAGACCACAAGGCTGGCTTTGGCCTATAAAGTCCTGAACAGTTCTGGCCCAATTTACTTGTGCGAATGTATCTCCCACTACAATTCACCTAGGGCCCAAAATCAACTGGGGAGTCCCTGCTTGTTGACGCCCACCCCCATCCTCACAATCATGGGGACAAGGGATGGGGCCTTTTCTGTGGTGGCCCCTTGGCTGTGGAACTCCCTCCCAAGCAAAATTAGATCTGCTCCATTCTTCCTGACTTTCGGAAACAAGTGAAGTCCTGGCTATGGGATCAGGCCTTTGCAGACTAGGCTGACCTGCTGCAGCAACGGCTTTTACGGAACTGACTGACTGCCCCTAGGACGATGACTTAAACCGGCGACTATTCACTGTTTAATGTTTTATACTGTTTTATTTTGTTTTACTGTTATGTTATTTAAATTGCGTATTTATGTTTTTGATTGTGGGCACCATGGGGTGTTGTTTTGTTAGTCGCTTTGAGTCACTCTGCAGAGGTCGAGATAGGACAGGATACAAATGTCCAAAATAAATAAATAATCATGAAGAGGACAGTGTGAGTTTCACAAGTGATTCTTAAGAATGATAGGTACGTAGCTTTGAAACTGTGGGCAAGCTCCTTTTGTAAAAGGGCTTTTAGTATAGACACAGGGAAGTTTTCAGCCTGGGGTTAGTGGGCAAACTAAGGCCCGAGGGCTGGATGCAGCTCTTATCTCAGGCATTTCTCATTTTCTCTGGGCTCTCAGCATAAGGACCCACGGCATCCTTATACAGAAAGGACAGAGGAAGAAGGCACGCAGCAGCCAAGAGCTCTCGGGAGTGCTCTCAGCCACAGCATGTCTCGCCCTCTTCCCAGCATAAGTGTTGCAATCCAGATCAGGAAACAAGACCATAAGATAACCATCCACCACACTTGACTGTGGGAAAAAACAATCCCTTTTTATTGGTGAAAAAATAGTTACAAAATAGAGGAAAATGCAAAGTCAAAAAGCCACAGTAAAATTCAGCAGTCAGGAATATCTATGAACTAGATCAAAATTCCAGAAGCAACACTGTCAAAACCTGGAACCTGTTAGCATTTCACTAACCGTACTTGGAACACTAGAAGCCTCTTGGGGTGCAGGCCATGGGAAACGAGAAATCTGCCAAGGTAATGCCTCAGTCTAAACGATGCCTGATCTAACGAGACAGCCCAGGGAGAGGCACTTAAAACTAAAGAAACTGTTTCGGGACACGCCTCCAGGCTTTGAAGCCTGGGCCTCCCTTTCCCTTAATCTGCTTGACCTTCACAGACTCTGCGATTCACTCCTGTTTTTCCAAATCTGCTCTTTCTATCCTCATTAAGGAAGCTGGGTGTTAGCTCCTCTGGAGAGCTATCCCTGCTTGGTTCTGAAACATTCTCATCAGGTTGTGTAGTTTCACTTTCCAAGCCACTGACCTCAGAATCAACATCTTCCAAACCATCAAAGAAAAATACATGTTCAGTAGCCTGTTCAGTTGCATCAGGAAATACAATCAGAGAATCAGGTTCAGGTTCACATGCAGGCTGAACCCCAACAATAAGGAGGGTGCGAGGGGCCTCATCCTTATGCCGAGAGGACAACCCGAGGAAGGCACGCAGTGGCAGAGAGCTCTCTGGAGTGCTCTTGGTTGTCACCAGTCTCGCCCTCCTCCCAGCATAAGTTTGAGAGGACAGCCTGAAGATTGGGGGGCGGGGGGAGGATTGGGGAGGAGGATTGGGGCAGTTGCCACATGTCTTGTTTTCCTCCCGTTTTCCTTCTGCCAGTAGGACAACCTGAGAATAGCCTGGGCCCTGCCCTGCCTTGTCCCACCCCCTCCAGGCCCCAACCTCTTCACTCAACTGTTTCAGTCAGTTGAACCCCATAAAAAAAATTGTTCATGCCTGGGTTAGTGGGTGCGCATTTCCTGAGGTGACCCATTTATGAAAGGTGTGTTAGGGATATCAGTGGCTACTTTTTCGTAATCCTTCTCACTTTGCTCCCATTTTAACTGCATACATACTATATATACATACACTTAGAGAACAGAATGATGCTGGGGAAAATGGAAGGAAAAAGGACGAGGGGCCGACCAAGGGCAAGATGGATGGATGGGATCCTTGAAGTGATTGGCTTGACCTTGAAGGAGCTGGGGGTGGCCACGGCCAACAGAAAGCTCTGGCGTGGGCTGGTCCATGAGGTCATGAAGAGTCGGAAACAACTGAACGAATGAACAACAACAACAACATACTATAAACCTTTTTCTGGTTCTCTTTCCACCCTATCTCTCACAATCCAATGTTCAGTATTTATTTTTCCCATCCTAAGTCTTGCATTCATGTTTTGCAGGACTTGAGGAATTTGGCTCGCGAACACAAGCAAATAGAGATTATCCCGCTGGGTAGGTGGCTGGCCGGACACAACACCTGGTCCTAAACTGGTGGAATGGGGAAATGGATGTTCAAGGCTTTGGGAAATCAGAAGGGGCATAGTGATGGGGAGGTTGTGGGCTGGATTTGCTAGCAAAATGCTTGCCAGGCTGTTCCCTCATATAATTATAGTCTAAATTCCATAGAAATTAGAATCCTGATGGCATGCATTGATCCCCTTTACGATATTCCTTCTTTCCTGTAGTCGTTTCTGATCCAGCCAGCATCAAGGCAGTGGTCACCAGAGTCACGGAGCAGCTGGGAGGATCCGGGCTGAATTTGCTGATCAATAATGCTGCGATCGCAAAGGCCAACACGATGGAGTCGGAGACGCGGGAGGATATGATGGAGGTGTATGACACTAACGTGGTTGGGCCCATGATGGTCAGCCAGGTGAGGGCATGCAATGGCATCTTCCTCACAGGTACCTGGTGTTGTTTTGCAAAGCCATTAAGGTTTTGAGGAGAAGGGGAATCCTCCTCTTCCTCCTCCTCTTTCCTTGGGGTTATTATTAACATGATTGCTAATTACTACAAAAATCATTTATTTTTGTAATTATGAAATATTAACTTTATTAAGTCTACTAATAATATTGAAATGGCAGGGAGAAGGTTTCAGGAAAAGAGACAAAGAGAGGTCCGGAGGTCTCAAAAGCATGGATTTTATTTCCAGCTGGGACTCTGGTGAGGAGTTGTGTCCAAAAGCACCAGAGCAATGATATAGGTGTGGACTATGGCTTTTATACCCTCCAATCGCAGTCAAACAAAGAACATGCGTCTACATACATTGGCACCATTCACTGCGTCATCTTAGCATCATAAGAATATCAAGTTCCACTTTCCAACATGCAAAAGGCATGTCTCTGTGTCTTTCTTTCTAGCAACAGCTTACATTCATCAATCAAGGGGCCTAACTTTGACTTGTCAGGAGGGAGAGGGGCGCTCCTTTTAGAGCCTAGTTGTACCAGTCTGTTGTCACTAGGACAGGCTTCTCTCTCTCCTGGAATGTATAGATAACATGCCCCCTCTTCAGCCCCCCTCTTGCTGTGCCTGGACAGCAGCTTGGGTTTCCTATACAGAGAGAACTTGATTTTTCTATACATTTCAGTGCTTGTAAAGCACATACAATTTATACATAAATAAATATCTATTTTTCCAATATCTCTTCATCAATATTAGTTATCATATCAATTAATTATTAAAATTTAGAATAAGGAAAAACACCAAAGCATCATGCCAAAATGCAGCCTGATGAACATATCCATAGAAATATTTGTGAAAAGAATTGACTAAATTGAGGCCGTTGTACTTTGGCCACATCATTGAGAAGGGAAGACTCACTTGAAAAAACAGTTATGCTTCATAAGTTAAAAAGTAGAATGAAAAAGGAAAAGACAGGGGATAGGGTGCCTTGGAGATGTCTCATTCATTGGATCTCCATGAGTCTAGATCAACTTGAAGGCAAACTTCCCATACAGTACCCCCATGACCAACAAAAAAGACTGTTTTCTGATGGTTTTTGGTGACGCCTCTGACATCCCCTCGTGATCCCTCCCAGGGCTCCTGACCCCCAGTTTGATAAATGCTACCTTAAGCCTTCTCTCTTCTTCTGCAGGCATTCATGCCCTTGATCAAGAAGGCTGCTCAGGAAAGCCCCCAGAAAGGGATGAGCTGCAGCAAAGCGGCCATTGTCAACATGTCCAGCGAAGGCGGCTCCATCACCAACGTTTTCGTGTTCCATCTTGGGCAGGTAGTCTCTTACCGGTGCAGCAAGGTATGGACATGTTTGTCATGCAAAGACCAATGTTGACTGTGTTAACATAAAAAGCCTGGACCTCCTTTTGTAGAAGAACAACGTATCATTTCCCTTCTTGCTCTTGGCATGTCTCTTTCCTAGGCTGCCCTGAACATGCTCACAAAGTGCCAGTCCCTGAGATATGCGGAAGACCAGATCCTGTGTGTCGCGATGCATCCCGGATGGGTGCAGACGGACATGGGAGGCACCTTGGTAAGCATTTAAGAATGATCTCCTTCCTAGAATCCTATAACTCCCAGAAATCCAAGACAGTTTTCCACCTGTTAGGATTTCTGGGAGTTGAAGGCCAAAACATTTGAGGACTCACAAGTTGAGAATCACTTTTCTAGGTGGTTGTTGAGGGCCTCCTAAAGTCGCTATATAAATCCAGATCAATGGTTCTCAACCTATAGGTCCCTCCCCAGGTGTTTTGGCCTACAACTCCCAGAAATCCCAGCAAGGTTACCTGATGTTAGGATTTCTGAGAGTTGAAGGCCAAAACACCTGGGGACTCACAGGTTGAGAACCACTTTTCTAGATGGTCATTGAGGGCTTCCTGAGGTCACTATATAGATCTAGATGGTTGTTGAGGGTCTCCTAAGGTCACTATATAGATCTAGATCAGTGCAGGCATGTAGCCGGGGGGGGGGGGGGGGCTTCATCCCCCCCCCCCCCCGAAATTCTCATGGTGGTTCGCGAGAAGGCCTTACTGGTGCATTATTTAAACTGTTATGTTTATTCATATCATGATTTGATCACCATACTCAATATATCCCATATGCATGGGGGTATTGGGGTAATGATACAAAAGGTTTGCTAGGTAGACCCTCTTTCACTCAGACTCAGCCCCCCCCCCCCCGAAACTCAGCCCTCCCGAAACCCCCCTGAAAAAAAATCACACACACCCCCGAAACGAAATCCTGGCTACGGGCCTGGATCAGTGGTTTTCAACCTGTAGGTCCCTCCCCAGGTGTTTTGGCCTACAACTCCCAGAAATCCCAGCTAGTTTACCTGATGTTCGGATTTCTGAGAGTTGAATGCCAAAACACCTGGGGACCCACAGGTTGAGAACCACTTTTCTAGATGGTCATTGAGGGCTTCCTGAGGTCACTATATAGATCTATATGGTTGTTGAGGGCTTCCTGAGGTCACTATATAGATCTAGATGGTTGTTGAGGGCCTCCTAAGGTCACTATATAGATCTAGATCAGTGGTTCTCAACCTGTAGGTCCTTCCCCAGGTATTTCGGCCTTCAACTCCCAGAAATCCCAGCCGTTTACCTGATGTTAGGATTTATGAGAGTTGAAGGCCAAAATACCTGGGGACCTACAGGTTGAGAACCACTTTTCTAGATGGTCATTGAGGGCTTCCTGAGGTCACTATATAGATCTAGATGGTTGTTGAGGGCCTCCTAAGGTAACTATATAGATCTAGATGGTCCTTGAGGGCCTCCTAAGGTCACTATATAGATCTAGATCAGTGGTTCTCAACCTGTGGGTCCCTGGATGTTTTGGCCTACAACTCCCAGAAATCCCAGCCAGTTTTCCAGCTGTTAGGATTTTTGGGAGTTGAAGGCCAACAGATGTTGAGAGCCACTGCCTTAGAGAGAGGTGCACTTCTATGCACACGGAGAAGCTGTAAGTGATTCTTCCCCATTTTCTCCTTAATGGCTGAACTTGGTGTGAACACAAGTTCTTAGGGCGGTGTCCCTTGTTCATTTCTGCATTTTGCCCAGTACATAACCTTCCCCCCTCCCCCCATTTTCTTTTCCCAGGCCACACTGAAAAAAGACCAGAGTGTGCAAGACATCCTGAACACCCTTTCCAAACTTTCTGAGAAAGACACTGGCACCTTTGTGAATTGGGAGGGAAAAAGTGTTCCCTGGTGAAACTGGAGGAAGAGCAATACAAACAATGCAGACAGCAACCTTTCATCCAATATATTCTACACTGCTGAATATCTGTCTTCTTTCTAACTGCCCCATATGCTTAATTTGGGCAGCCATAGATTATCTAATTCCTTTGTCATTTTCTTTAATAGGTGGTGGTTAGGTGGTAGCCACACACTAATGATATACTGTATATACTCGAGTATAAGGCAACCCAAATATAAGCCGATGCACTTAATTTTACCACGAAAAACTGGGAAAACGTATTGACTCAAGTACAAGCCAAGGGTGGGAAATTCAACAGCTGTAGATACTAATAAAATTACATTAATTGAGGCATCCATAGGTTAAATGTTTTTGAATATTTGTCGTATTTCCGGGGCGTTCCGGAGCGATCGTGTCTATTGCCCTGGCCATCTCCCCGTTCCAGAGAGTCACCAGGGCATCAACAGGATCACCAACCGAGGCAGCGGGAAACTCCCCAAGAGCCATCAGGAATCCATCCGGATCCATAAGCCTCCTGGGGCGGACCATCTTAATGGGTCCCCCACCTCTGCAGAGGTTAGGAGGTGCAGTAAGTCTAAAGCTGACCAGATGGTGGTCGGTCCATGGCAACGGAGAGATGGATAACTCCTCAACCCCGCCACCTTGCTCCCATCCTTGACAGAAGACCAAATCCAATGTGTGCCCAGCACTGTGGGTGGGGCCAGTTACTTGTTGGGACAGCCCCATGGTTGCCATGGAAGACATGAAGTCCTGAGCCGCTCCCACTAAGGCAGTCTCGGCGTGTATATTGAAGTCCCCCAGCACAAGAAGCCGTTGGGACTCCAATGACAGGCTCGAGACTACCCCTGCTAGCTCAGGTAGGGAGACTGTAGTGCAGCGAGGTGGGCGGTACACTAACAGAATCCCTATTCTGTCCCGGTCCCACCCTCAGGTGGACACATTCAAAATTAGTCGACTGTGGGATGGGGCCTCTGGTCAGAAAGATTGAATTTTTGTAGACTACCGCAACCCCGCCTCCCCGCCCTCCAGGCCTCGATTGGTGCTGTACGGAGAAGCCTGGAGGGCAAAGCTGGGTTAGATTTACTCCTCCAGCTTCGTCCAACCAGGTCTCCGTAATGCACGCCAGATCTGCCCGTTCCTCCAGAATTAGATCCTGGATGAAAGATGTTTTACCGTTGACAGATCTGGCGTTCAACAGCACCATCTTCAACCCGGAGGGACCGCCAGCCTGGGTACACCCACTTACCCTGTCAGGAGACCGGTTGCATGTTATTAAATTTTTTAGATTTCTTTTTCTCTCCCTAGGCCGAATTTGAGTTGTTGATTTCCTGCTACTTTTGAGCCGAATTGATGGCCGAATTGATGGTCTCCCTTTCCCGCATCTCCCCCTCCCCGTTATGGTTTCTATGGGGACCCCTCGGCCAATGGAATGCTCCTCTTCATCCATGTTGCACTTCAGGGTTACAACCTCATCCCATGGTTCCCTCCAGATTATTTCATTCGTTAATTTCCCCTTCTGCCGTCCTAGTTCCTTCCAATCGTTTCTGACCCCTGCACTACTATTAGCCGAGCTAAACCAGCTCCTTGGTTCAACGAGGAGCTGGCAGCAATGAAGCGAAAAAAGAGGAGACTAGAGCGTGTGTGGCGTTCGGATCCGAGCGAGTCAAACCGAGCACGGTTTGTTGCCCTATTAAGGGCATATGCCGTGGCAATAAAGGCGGCAAAGAAATCCTTCTTTGCGGCCAACATTGCGTCCGCAAAGAACCGTCCGGCTGAGCTGTTTCGAGTTGTCAGAGGCCTATTAAAGCCCACCACTCCGGATGGGAGCCCTGACAACTCGACGGCCCGCTGTGAAGCATTTGCACGGTTTTTTGCGGACAAAGTCGCTTTGATCCGTTCGGGCCTGGATACCATGTTAATGGCGGTCTCTGAAGATGTGACGAGAACACCTGTCTGTCCGATTTTGATGGATTCGTTTCAATTGGTGAAACCTGGGGATGTGGATGAGGTGCTTGGAGGGATGAGAGCAACCACATGCATCCTAGACCCCTGCCCATCCTGGCTTCTAAAGGAGGCCAGAGGGGGATTGGCCGAGTGGGTGAAGGTGGTGGTTAATGCCTCCCTTCGGGAAGGCAAAATTCCAGCCAGCTTAAAACAAGCTGTTATAAAACCGCTGTTGAAAAAACCATCACTGGACCCCACTCAATTCAACTATTGGCCTGTTTCCAATCTCCCCTTCTTGGGCAAAGTCCTGGAACGTGTGGTGGCCTCACAACTCCAAGCATTCTTGGTAGACACTGATTATCTGGATCCGGCACAGTCTGGCTTTAGGCCGGGACATGGTACCGAGACAGCCTTGGTCGCCTTAGTGGATGATCTCCGGCGTGAGCTTGACAGGGGGAGTGTGTCCCTGTTGGTTCTGCTGGACCTCTCAGCGGCCTTCGATACCGTCGACCACGGTATCCTTCTGGGACGCCTCGTGGGAATGGGCCTGGGGGGCACTGTTTTACAGTGGCTCAGGTCCTTCCTAGAGGACCGTACCCAGAAGGTGTTGCTGGGGGACAACTGCTCGACCTCACAGCCATTGACTTGTGGGGTCCCGCAGGGCTCAATATTGTCCCCCATGTTATTTAACATCTACATGAAGCCGTTGGGAGAGATCATCCGGAGTTTCGGGGTGCGGTGTTATCTGTACGCAGATGACGTCCAACTCTGTCACTCCTTTCCACCTACTACTAAGGAGGCTGTCCAGGTCCTGAATCGGTGCTTGGCCGCTGTGTCGGACTGGATGAGGGTGAACAAATTGAAACTCAATCCAGACAAGACAGAGGTACTCCTGGTCAGTCGGAAGGCCGAACAGGGTATAGGGTTACAGCCTGTGCTGGACGGGGTCGCACTCCCCCTGAAGACGCAGGCTCGCAGCTTGGGTGTGACTCTGGATTCTTCGCTAAGCTTGGAACCCCAAGTTTCAGCGGTTTCCAGAGGAGCATTTGCACAGCTTCGGCTCGTGCGCCAGCTGCGCCCGTATCTTGGGAAGTCGGACTTGGCCACGGTAGTCCACGCTCTTGTCACATCCCGTATAGATTACTGCAACGCGCTCTACGTGGGGTTGCCCTTGAAGACTGCCCGGAAGCTTCAGATGGTCCAGCGCTCGGCAGCCAGGTTGCTAACGGGAGCGGCACTCAGGGAGCACACCACCCCCTTGCTGAGCCAGCTCCACTGGCTGCCAATTTGCTACTGGGCACAATTCAAGGTGCTGGCTTTAGCCTATAAAGCCCTACACGGTTCCGGCCCCACTTACCTCTCCGAACGCATCTCCACCTATGAACCGGCGAGGACGTTAAGATCGTCCGGGGAGGCCCTGCTCTCGGTCCCGCCAGCGTCACAAGCGCGGCTGGCGGGGACGAGAGACAGGGCCTTCTCGGTGGTGGCCCCTCGGCTATGGAATGCCCTACCAGTGGACATCAGGCAGGCCCCTTCGTTGCTGGTGTTTCGGAGGAGGGTTAAGACGTGGCTCTATGAACAGGCGTTCGGATAACTATGCAATGACAACTAACTCAGTAAGACGGCATTTTGAACAAGGAACGAAAAAGGACTGTGAGAACGGGATCTGATTCTAATTGAGGCGTTGATGACTATATGTGTGTCGTTTGTGTATGTGTGTCTTATTTACTGTCAGTGTTGCCCATTTTTATTGTAAACCGCATTGAGTCGCCGTCCCAGGCTGATAAATGCGGTATACAAATGGAGTAAAAAAATAAATAATAAATAAAAGCAGTAAATTAGCTTTGTAAGTGGAAAAGTAGGGTCACCAAAAACAATATGGTATCAATAACAATGTTATAACAACAACAACAACAACAACAACAACAATAATAATAGAAGTTCATTTGTATCCCACCTTATCTCCCCAAGCGGACTCAGGCCAGCTTCCAACATAGTATCAGGCAAACATTCAATGCCTATATAAACAATGCAGAGCTAGGTACAGATCTATAGCCATATATACTAATTTCACACCTGCATTTCCCCCTGAAACGTTTGCAAATCCCCTCTCTCTATATGTGCATTTCCCTCCAGCAATATTTGCAAGCCCTATATATCTATATTCACATTTATTTAGCTAGATATTTCTCACTCTATAGATATTTATATTTATATAGGATTTGCAGAGGCATGCAAACATGTGAGGGGGAAATTCATATAAAAATAATGTATACATAGAGCAACAGATATACAAGTACTTGGAAATCTCTAGATATTTATATGTATATAGGATTTGCAAAGACCTACAAACATATGAGGGGGAAACTTCCGAGGGAACAAAATGCACATATGAAGTTCATACATTTAGATATACACACAAACAGGCCAGGAAATTGGGTGAATGAGATCCATACAAACAAGGAGGACATGAAATATATCTATCTCTGGGTTGTTGTATGACCAGGGTGGGACAAAGGACTCTTGTCTGCTGGAGCTAGGGGTGAATGTTTCAACTGACCACCTTGATTAGCATACAATGGCCTGACAGTGCCTGGAGCAATCTTTTGTTGAGAGGTGATTAGATGTCCTTGTTTGTTTCCTCTCTTTTGCTGTGAATTTGATGGCACTGTCAGGCCATCAAATGATAATCAAGGTGGTCAGTTGAAACATTCCCACCTAGCTCCAGCAGACAATAGTCCTTTGTCCCACCCTGGTCATTCCACAGATATATAAACTCTTTTTCCTAGTTCCAAGAGACCTCACTACCTCTGAGGATGCTTGCCAAAGATGCAGGCGAAACGTCAGGAGAAAATGCCTCTAGACCATGGCCATATAGCCCGAAAAAACCTACAACAACCCAGTGATTCCGGCCATGAAAGCCTTGGACAATATATCTATCTCCTTGCCTCCCTTTTGACTGGAAAAGAAAACACACCGTCAAGGGAGGGGAAGAGGAGACAGAAATATATCATATATTCGGGTTATCTTTGAGTATATACGGTAGTTATTTTCAGACTTTGGAAAAGTTACGTTTTGCACTACAACTCACTGGATCCTCACTTTAAAAAGTACTTTCCCAAAGCTTTGTACTTTTTCATGATACGGGGCACAGGAGTAGAAATGAGTCCCTCCTAGCCGAGAGATTTTGGGCCACTTTGAAAGGCAACTTCCAAACTTCTCGCAGCCAAACAACACTCTATAGACAAGTGGTCCGTTCCTTTTCTAAAAGCCCCATAAACTGCAAAAAATATACAATGTGTATGGTTTTGTAAGCTTGCATAGGGAATTTTAAGCACTTTTGGTTGGTCTAATAAAAGTATTGCTACAATATGGACATTGGATCCTTG